TTTCATAACTTTCCGGATGGAGGCCTCCCCATTCAGACCACCCGTTGCACCGAGATTTTGACCCGACAGACGATACTCCTCTTCTTTTGGCGATGGATGTTCAAACTTGCACCTATTAACCCACTTCTGTGCCAAAACTTCCAGTTCTGTGTCGTACACCTAGAGAAACGTTAAATGGAAACAATGGCTTATTTTGGTAATGATTATCGCGATATGCAATTAAAGAATGCGGAAGCAGTTGATTTATTTTCAAAATTATCAGAAACAATGCACTTAATAGGGAGTTTCCGGGTTGAATGCAATTTCTAACGACAGGGGTAGATCAAATGGAAGTTGTTTTTGTCGCAGGATATATGGGGCTTATGCAAAGTGATGTCGAGTATATGTGATTCTTTTGGGTTTCTCTGCTTTATTTGACGGAGCAGTTACTAAGAAAAATTCCATTTTGCTGACGAGACAAATTCGTCCGCCATAATACTTGAACGCTAGCAGTATAAACTAGTTCTCGTTGACGTACACTTGGCAAAATATTCCTTAATTTCAAAATATCTTATAACAACAATAGGAAGACGGTTTGTCTATTGAGAAAAGCTCTCCACTATGACGTATAGATATCAAACTAAACTTGGACACCTACAAAGCCAGTTGGAATTGATAACTATCATCCGCGAACATAGTGTATGTTTAAGGGGTTAATTCCAGAAATGTTACTGTGTTTACCGGTCAACGATATATTCACTATATATTCTAGACGATTTCTTTTTTTGTTTCTGCCTTTGCAAGTGACAGTTTCACTGAAAACGACTCTTTTATAGTCAATATATTTAAGTTTGTTCCTTGCCTTAGGGATGGCCGGATTATGCATGAAGATTACAACACAGTCATTAATTTTTAAATCAGCAATTGGAGACCTAGTGTATTTGACCCTCCGAGGAATTACGACAAAGTGAAATTGAAGAATTGGAGCGAAAGGACTAAACTAAACTATGGTAAATATTGGGGATTTCTAAAGTTTACTAAGAGCACCAGTTCGGACAGCAACTTGTGAAGGTATTTGTATTGTATACGGTAGTTACTATTTATATGAATGGCATCCCATTCTCCATTACCTTTGCCGGTAATAATATTCTGCATATTTCATGCGCCGTTGTGCAGCTGCTGCCAGCGCTGAAGAGAGAGCCCAAAAGACACAAAGGTACGAGTATGTTCCGTAAGAACGACCAGAGAGCGCCCCTCTATTACAGGTCGCGAGTTCGAAGCTCGGGTGTTCCACACTTCGGACTTGGGTATGGCTGGCTGACGACGGCCAATAAGCCAGAAATGGCCATTCCAGTCTCTCTTGTCTTTGCCGGTAATGCCATTCTGCCTATGTATCATGCGCCGCTGTGCGGCTGCTGGTTGGGCTTGAGAGAGAGCCCTTAAGGCACAACGGAACGAGTGAGTTCCGTATGAACGATCGGTGAGCGCCCCCTACCACATATATATATATATATATTATGACAGTGGGCGCTCGCTGACCAGGTTACGGAACATGCTCGTTCCGTTATGCCTTGGGGCTCATACTAAAGCCCTCACATGCAGTCGCATAGCGACTATTAGAATGATGTAAATCAGATGGTACCGACAAAGACAAGGGAGAACGGAATGGCCATTTCTGGCTTATTAGCCGTCATCAGCCAGTCATATATATACACGCACATTTATCCTAAGATATTTTTGCAACTGGACCCTCGTTGACGGCAATGTAGAATAAAAATTCCGAGATAAGCAATACTGGCACTCCTTATTTTTAAAATCTACCCTTTGCGGACGATAAAATCATGGCTTATGCATGTACGTCGTAATCCATAAAATGAATTAGTTCTAATTCATCCACCTCCGCAGTGTCAACCTAAGTAAATCAATGCTAAAATTGATTTTCTATCAAACTTTACGAGGAAAGCAACTTATCAACGCCATTAAAGCGTTGAGACAGTGACATTTTAAAAGTTGGCCCCTGAGAGAAAGATTACAAGTATTGGGCGTCTATTGTTTTATAGACCGGCCTATCGACTAAATTTTGCCCAAAACTACACTGAATGACAAAAAAGAATATGCAACCCTATACCGATTAATCTGACCACTAAATGTTTGGAAACCTAACGGCTTGTGGGATTTGCAAACATGTATGTCCGCAAAGCGAAACAATAGGAAGTGGTCAAATGCCCATCAATCGCACTTGTGTTGTGAGGTTTGCAAACCCATACGTCCGTCAATCGAGAGAGTAAGGCGGGGGGGGGGGTAAGATGCCGTCCGATCACAGTTGTATCATGAGGCTAGCACAGGAAAATAGCATTCAGAGATATTAGACAATAGGCTTACCATGTTTTGCATGTTGGAGGCCGCGGGGACGACGCTATGACGCATTTCATTGTGGTAATTCAGGAAGAGGTCTCTCTCTCCTTGCGTAAGTGATTCAACGGCCATGAGGCTCATCAAACAGATGGCGGCCACCAACGCGCAGTTTCCTATGACTTTTTGCCCGGTCATTCTGAAGAAGAACCTGTCACAGAACGCATATAATTATATTACCTCGTATAAACCCATAATTACAATTTCGGAAGTGTGAGAACAAACGATAGCTACTTCCTTAGGCGACGGTTTAACCGCACGACCACCTCCCCAACTATCTCCAAAATCACATTTAAATCTTATAGCGTCTTTCCGGGTCATATCCACATTCAGATGATTGACTTTTCTTAATAAGAATCACTACTTTCGATGTGAATATGGGTTAGGAGCCTGTTGTTTACTTAGGTGTTCAATGAAAGGCTAGCCTTCGTCAAGTGAAGCAAGTTGCAAATCTGTCCTGCACAAGTGAGCCTGACGTTCTTGAGTGTTGTGCAGAAAAACCGCCTTGAGTGTTTACGCAAATTGCTTCAAATTCTAACAAGCAATGCAGGCACACTAAAAATATACGCAACTGAATTTCGCAGGCATTATAAGTATCCGATAAACAGCTAAAGCCGATCAAGGGAAGAGTTTAGGGAAAAGAAAATTCGACATCTCCCTTAAAGTAGGGGGCTGAAACCAATTATCATGCATACAGTAAAAAGGCTCAAGTATGATAACGTCATTCCTCGCGTACTTACAGATCTTGGATTAGAATTCGCTGTCTGTCTGCAAGCATTTATAGTCGTTTTTGCCAGGCGTTCGTGAATTTCTTTGCAAGGTCTTCTAGCAAACATTGATTAGACGTCAACACGACTGACATAAGAGACAATTAATTCGTTTCACAATGTTGTGCTGTCATATTATACAGTGGTCGGCTAAGAAATTTCTGGGTTGGCACACCCCCTACTTGTATGTCTCTAAATTGTTAACAAATAAAAATGTCCGAATTTTGACGTGTGTCGATTGTAGTGAGGTTTAAATCCGCCTTAGGCCAAGGCATGTGCACAAATTGGCAACAATCATGTACACTGTGAAAATGCGGGCTGATATTTTTTTTTACTATAGACATAAAATTCATTCCACTAGCTAGACACTCTTTGATTGCACGGCAGTAGATGACTGGGTAGAGGCAGAAGAATTCACTTGCAGCTAGCGCGATATTAAAAGCTAAAAACGCGATCTTACTACTAGAAAGTGAAATTGACAATCTCAACGGTCGGATGGGTATTCAGGAAAGCATGTCATTTTATTGTTGAAAAATTTAAAAACGACCTGTCGATATTTACTTAGAAGACGGGGACGCTGTACATTTCATGTATTTTAAAACGTGAAAGATTAAACCAACTACTATCAAAACTTGAATTTCCATTTCGTGTATGTGCGCTGATCGAAAATGCGCCTAGGCACGCCATCCACAAAAACGAAATTCTTTAATATTTGGCAATGTACATTTCTTTATTTTCATAATTTAAACGGCACCGAGAAACGCTCGGCTGTATTAAACACTTTTGAGCATGTGCGATTGAACATGTAAGTGCTATAAGATACGCTTCCGTGCTATTCTGTGGAATAGGAGTATCCAGGTAGGACATTCGTGCGCGAGTTTTAGGACTAACCATGCAACTAATGACTGCGCGTCACTTTTCCTAACTGGCTCCCTCTCAAATCCGTAGCTCCTCGAAGCGAGGCTCTGCCTGCCGATCACAGCCCCGTAAACCTCGTCAAACGGCGGGCAAAATTGCATGAGGGTGTCCTGCGTTACATGTGTCCCCACAATCGGTAATTTTGCTCTGTCCTAATTATTCCGCTCCTCTCTTACTCCGTTCCCTCCCAGCACCCCCTTTCCTCCTGTTCTCCCGTCCCCCACTCCAGTTCAAATGTTCCACGCAGAGGGTCACATGCAGTCCCGTAGGCAGCCCAGAGTGCCTTCAGTCGCCCTCTGATTAAATCAAGACTTTATTCATAGTTGAGTTTGGCTGCCATCTAGGATATCTAAGCAACCCATATAAAGACAACACTGCGTACCTTATCAGGGAGGGAGGAAGGTAAGTAGAACAGGTGTTGCAAACAAGTGCTGGATAATTTTATCTGCATGCATACCATAGCTCGCAGATGAATAAGACGTGGTCGAAAAAATACAGTCAAAAACAACCTGAGTCCCTATCTCCACCCCACTTTGTGGATGCAAGGGTGAACCCACTCATTTTGGAAGCCTGGGTCGTTCTTATTCTCTTAGAAAATTCGGGGAACAACCGAACGGATCGGAGGACGACGGATGGGTTGTAAAATGATCATCGGTAGTCTCAGCAAGACGCACTTCTCCGAAGAAGACCAACTGGAGGAGATGGATGTCTTCCATACCTTCTTCTACAGCGGTCACAAAATGCAGAGCGACGCGGGCAGTTAATGGGCTATGTTTTTGTTCGTAGGTGAGATAAACAGGAGTTGTTAGTAACAACGGATCTCCGAGCCTCCGAGAGCTAAACGGATGGCCATCTCATAATCTCTAGGATGAGGCTCCAGATGCGACCCCGCCGAAATCCACTAAGTAAGCAAACACAGACCATTCAAATATCGTTCTGTTGATGTTGTCTCTTCACCGCTTGCATTAACGCAATCAATGAGCCCAACGCCTGGAAGAACTGCTGGTCCTGGATAAAGAGGTCACCATAGAGATTCGGCGGTGCCTCTTGCGGAATGCTATCCAAGTCCCTGCTCTGGACGTCCATAGGTGCGGATTTCGCCAAAATTAAGACTGAATCGACACCAAAGACGCCCACATCTGCAACCTGCTCACCGAAATTCGTGAGCTTCATAAGGCCTACATGGATCATCAAATCGACGCAAAAAAGAACACTTTTTTGCCATCGTCGCCTCGTGTAACAAGGAACGTTGGAGATGCTAACCGCCTAGATTTCGCTTTAGATCAAGGAAATTCAGGTACATGCTAACCGTAATAAAACAAAGAAATTCGTCTCATCATTTAAGGCGTTTTATGGTCTTGCAACCAAAGACTCCGCCCGTCTTCTTAGCTCCGATGGAACGACCACTCCGATGGAGAGATTGGAAAATATGAAGGGCAAAGCCGTGCACTTCGGAAGCGTCCTCAACTGTTTACCTACCGTTTCCGACGCCCCCATTGGCCGTTTCCCTCCAGTCAATGCAATTGACGACCCGGATCTTTCGCTTTCTCCCCCTGAAGCAATCCGAGCAGTGCGTCTACTCTTCAACGGGAAGCAATGGGATCCTACGCGATCCCGACTGAAATCTTAAAGTCTGGCGACCCCCAGCTGATGGATCACCTCCCAACGCTATTTTGAATGCAGCGCCGAGAACATATCGATCAGGACTGTAATTATACAGCAACTGCTTATTCCTATGAACAGAAAGGAAGCTGACCACTCTATGATAACCATTGAGAAATCTCGTAAGTAAGCATTGCCAGGAGGATCTTCCCCTCATCCTCTTCAATCGTCTTAACGGCCAGCTAGAACCAGGGCTTCTGTGGGAAAGTCGGCGAAAAATCCAACACAACCTCGAAACCACTGACAGCAAGAGGATTTCCAGGAAACGCGAGTTCACTATCATCGTGGACTCGAAGAAAGTCTTCGATACGGTGAATAACGATGGTCTCTAGAAATCCGACTGTCCTGAACGACTGACTAACATGGTGCGTAAGTTCTACGAGAGGGTGATAGCGCGTTTTACGGACGACTAGACTGCCTTAGATGCAATAGCGAAACCAACAAAGTGAAAGAGAACTGTGTACTCCATCCAAAATTCCCCAATCTCATGTTTCTTGACATACTTATAGACGTCCGGGCGTCAGGGGATGTACATCAGCTACAGGAACGAGGGACAGCCGGCGCTTTCGGGCCGCAACCAGTCTTTGCACAACTACTGTTCACGACCTGCTCTTTGTGGATGACTGTGCTCTCAAGATCTTGACAAAATCTTTCCTGCGTTGGCCGAGCGCTAGTGATCAACACGGACGATACGATGGTCATGCGTCAGTCGCCTCTGAACGCTGCCTACAGTGTTCCTCTCATCTATGCCAACGACGAAAGCTGTCACTCCGACCGACCCTGCTCCGACCCCCACGACGTACACTCCGAAGACCACCCTAACCGTCGATTCTCAGCCTCTACTGGCCCCGCTGCCCTCGACCACAGTCATCTGCATTAGTTCTGTCACAACCTGCGCGATGACGTCGGCCACCACAGTTCCCATTCCCGCCGCCGATCAAGACACCCTTAACGGCCATTAACCGTCACCCCTACCATGTCCAGACATGTGCGCTGGATATTAACTGCTCCTCCTTGCGATTGCACATTCCCCTCATGCATTGGTCTGGCCGGTTACTTGCGTATTCATCACACCGCAACCGGTGGAACGAATGTCATGAGGCCCCACATGCACTCGCTGCATCAGCCTTCACTATCCGCACGGTTTACACACATTTACACACAGTCTGAGCCTATTTGAGCGCATATGTATCCATAACAGTGGGATTCTTCGCAGTATTGACACAACTGCGGCACATTTCCCAATCATTACCACTCTCGTACTCGGTCCAGTCATTCCCCGACGACCAGCTCGATCACCACCAGCAACATAATTATGACAATCGATGCAACATCCTCCAACAGTCCTTTCATTCAGCCGTCGCATAGGATACATCGGTCGCATGCGCATTCACGAAAACCAGTGATAAATTCTGCAGACACGGTCCGTTCTTCCTAAAAACACTGCTCCATACACAGGTCTTCTTCCATTTGGTCCCATCGCCGGGTGTGGCATCCGAACTTTCTACCGCTTCTGTGCTAAATTCTTATTTGTGCGAGTCTACGAGCTCCTCATAGTTGCGTCAACCACCCCTGCTTATCTCATCATCAGTCAGTTGACCGTCACAGACGACCGAATGGTGCATGTGATGGGGTAGAAGAGTGAGGTCGAAAATTTGAAAACAATTCACCAGTCTAAACAATTTGACGAGTTGAAAACTACAGTAGGTGGTCTAACTCATGAAATGTCAACAGAAATTCCAAAATGCGTTTCCGGTTCGAAAAGATTAATTTAATTCGGTTGTAAAACCACTCGTCGTGCAGCATAAATCTTTAATAATCCAGTTACTCCAGGAGTCCGGCTTTCGAAAAAACTTCTTTTCGGCTGCATTCAAATCCACACTCCTTAAAACGATTACTTGATTTGTATGGATTTTTTTCACTGATTTTCAATGCCCTTAAAGATTCAATTATAGTTCATAGAAGGTATGCATAAAAATATTCATGCTTTACTCATAAAGTAGAAACGTACGTCTCATTTCAATTTTACACTCGGAGAAATTTATAGTTCAAATTTTAAAAAAATTAATTTTAAGATATTTTAATACCGTAAAATTGCCGTTCATAAAACGTCTCTGTATTTATCAATGTGGCTTGTAAAGTAAACAGTGTGGCGAAAATGCACTACTTAAGTTTACGAACCCCATATGGTCTCCTCTTAACACTATAGAGAAATTTATGGTTTTCCGTACGTGAAAAATATACGGCTTATAGTTTGGGAGCCCTAAATGCAAGTGTAACGACAGGTTGGGTTCAAAACTATTGGGGAATTGGAAAAGTTTTATAAAACCAAATGATACCCTTCCTTTCAGTGTCGAATTGAAAAAAGGACGTAATTTTCTTCTGAATGAGCAGAAGACTGAATATTTTATGCATGTTTTTCATGAAATATAATCGAAGTTTTCGGGGCATCGAAAATCAATGAAACAATGCATGCTAGTTATTTAGTCATTTTTGCAGAGTATGGTTTTTGGATCAAACTGGAACGACGTTTTTCCACAAGCCGGCATCCTGTGTTAACTGATTTATTATAGAATTATGCTGCACGATGATTGGTTTTAAAACCTCAATTAATCTTTCCGAAACGGAAACGCATTCCGGAATTTCTGTCGACATTTCATGGGTTAGCCCACTTACTGTATCATTGTACGCTTAACGCCGGGGCCTGGAAGGTTGCCGACCAGCGCTTCAACTCAGATCACGCAGTCATGTAGACTGTGCAATTGTGATTTGAGTGGTTGGTTGGTGGACTCAGAACCAGGCGACAATAGCAGCCTCACGAGTGTTACATCCGAGACGCTTTCCCTACTGTGTGTGCAATCCTGTTTTGTGCGTTTGAGTGGCCAGGTCATGCGCACGGCACGCGAAGACGAGCCTTTTATCTCGGTTAGCCACTGCGTCTCATTCCGTCGTCAGACATCTGACCGGCCCAGACAGTGCCTTGTTTGCTTTCCGAGGAGGTAAATGCGCGAACTTGGAGTAAATTCTTTTAAAACGGAAATTTGCAGGCACGGTCTGTAGGTTGATATGAATATCAGCTGCTGCGAAATAACCACATTTTATTTACAAACCGCTTACAGGCAGCCAGTACTACAAGATCGTGAAATTATTTACTGTACTGGCAACACATTGGCATCGCCGACAACACTGTACGAATAGTCTTGTGTACTTCTAGAGAGGAGGCCGGCACAGTGTGTAGTTTAAGAAGCAGTTTTGTATTTGTTGAGCCAGTGTGGATGCATTGTTTATCATACAGGTTTGACCAAATGTAAAGTATTTAAAATATCATATTGAAGGAAAAATGTAGTTTGGCAGAATTAGCGTCAGTGTTTGTGGGAGTATACAGAAGTATAAAAATATTCCAATATTTTCCCATACTTTACCGTGATGTGGCATGCATTCATATGCAGAACGATCAGCTAGAGCACACTGTAAATAGTCGGCCTGTTAAAGAGGTTTTACAATCCGACTACGATCATATTTATATCTTGTCTTCTTTGTTAATGTAAATCATCTAGTAGGTCGGGTTTTTACGTTCATTGAAGTACCTACAAAAGTGACTCGAACCGTCCACGGAATAAAGTGAATCTGCAGCCGTTCCACTCCCCAGTTTACGACTCCCCACTGTCAGTCGGTGATCCTGACTGTCGCGCTAACCGACGGGCACGCGGCTGACGCACGGCCACCCATCAGGCCTGAGCTGGGACGCCTATGGTTCAGCTACAAAGGGTCACGGCTGTGTACACACGCCTCACAAACGTCGAACGACTTCGCTTGTCACCCTTGTGCCCTAGTGATCATGCAGCCCCGACTCGGCCCCGAAACCAACCAATCACACGTCCAACACTCAGCAGGCAGTCCCTCATGCTGGGATGGCGGCGTGACAACCATGTAAACAAAACACCATGACTTACGCTTCCCCGGATGGACGCTTTTCTTTGACACAACCAGACAACTCACGGCTATCTGCTCTGTGTATTGAATGAACCAAAATATCTTTTTTGCTCGACGTGAAAAGGCTGAAACCTGGCAATGGACGGCGAGTGCGAGAGACTGAAACTCGGAGAAAAGCGAGAGGAAGCGGTAGGGGGAACGCAGGCGAGAAAAAACCGCAAAATTGTGGAGAAGATGTGGTTATACAGCCGCACTTGATGCACGCAATACTTTTAGAGGTTAGTGTTAGGGGTTAGGGCAAATACTTCTCAACCACTCAAGTTGCATTCTATTTTTGCCACTGAAGTGCACCATTAAACTTTACTCTTATCTGGGAAGTGAAGGAGAAGTGTACGAGGCGCAATGGCTCGTTTATGAAATTCGCCAAAATCATCGAAGTATGCAGCACAAGCACAGTACATACGTAACATGTGAAAGTCTTGTTTGAATATGATGCAGTAGAATGACAGGCGGTCGGCATGCTGGCTGCCAATAATATGAAAATGGCTACAACTAGCTATAATTATGGATGATTTGTTGTGTTCAACAGACTTGACGTGCATGAAATTGCCCATATGTAGGACTTTAGGGTAGTTAGTACTTTTTTATGCAATTTAAGAGTAAATTGGCAGTAAAGAGTAAGAAAATTTGCTGTTAAAGTTGCTAAAAGTAGGCATTTCAACGACGTAATATAAAAAAAGGGTTAGGAAGGTAAGCGCAATTAATTTCGGGCCTGGGCAGCATTTAATAGCATATTGTGCAAAATACAATCACGTTTATCACATGCATTAGAGAAGGAAAGTCAAAAATACGCAGTCGGGATTTGAAAGAACTATCTTAATGATGTTGAACAGTCCTCAACCTAAAAAATGAAAAATCAGCACCCAATCAGTTATCTTTTGTTGAAAAAAGAGGATGACGGTTAATGGCCGTCGATAAACGCTTGCGATCATTGTTATCCATAGTCAAATAAGGAAACTGTTGGAATATCTTTTTCTAATCAGTCTGATCCGTACTAATCGACCAAATATGAAACCACTTCTCAAACTACCTGTGCTGGTCTGGCAGTCTCTCTAGATGCCCATATACGCAAATTATTTATCATACAATCCGGTGACCATACATACTCAATAATTATACGACGATTTATCATGACAATCTCTCGACGGCTATAAGAATATGTGTTAATGAATTAAACCAACATCAGCGTAATGCAGATAAATGCGTCTGACAGTAATTAAGACTAGGTGGGATATAAAATAAAGGATGTTTTCGAATGTAAATTTGTCAAAAAATGAAGACAGTTGTTTAGCGACAGGCATGCTAAAACAAAGTACGTTTCATCGTTTGCGCACAAAATAGAGTTTAAGCACAAAGAGTGATTAGGTTCGTCTCTTGTGTTTAGGCTAGGTGCACGGAAATATAACTCGGATGTTGCAAATGGGCATTCCAGGCTGCCAGAGTAAGCTGAGTCGCCCTTACAGCCTACGAGGCGGCGTGAGGAATGCGGACGCGGGTTGTTTTTGACTGATTGTCCCGAGCGTGATTTGTCCAGCTGTGAGCTATGGTAGGCCTGCAGATGACATGATCCTAGCACTTGTTTAGGGCATCTTTACTAGCTCAACCCTCCACCTAGAGAGTAGGCAATGCTGTCTCTGTATAAGGCTGCTCAGATCCTATGAGTCACGGCTTAATTTTATTAGACAGCCAGCGAGGTAGCCTGGGCGGCCTACGGGACTGCATGCTGCCCTCTCCGTAGAACTCTTAAACCGGCGTTAGGGAAGAATGAACAAGAGGGGGGGAAAAAGAAAGAGAGGAGAGGAGGAATGGGAACGGAAGCAGAATTACCGGATGTGGGGGCACATACAACGTCGGATACTCTCATGCTTCTCGGCCTACCGGTCATGGGGGTCACTAGGATGTGATAACTAAGCAGAGTCTAGCTTCGAGGAGCCACGGAACCAGTTGGGGACCAGGAAGGGCAGCCAACTCGGGTGCAGATGCCCTTACCCGGCATTCCTACACCACAGAAGCACATATCGGCGAACCACAGGTACCACATATGTATCACCATACATGTTCAAAGATGCTTCATGCTTGTGGTGGCAGTTTTTCACTGGTGTGTGTAATGCAGAGGAATGTCTCTCGGCGCGGTTAAAGACCGTTATGGATGTAAAATCACAGACGTCTGGAAATGTACGTTACCAGACATTGAGGAATGTTGTATTTGCGGATGGTGTGCCTGGGCACCTTTTTAACCATCCCACTTACAGAAGATGGAAATTCAGGCATTGAGAGTGATTTGACCAATCTTTCTTGTTTAGGAATAATATGAAATGTACAGCGTCTCTATCATGTAGGTAAAAGCGGACAAAACGTTTTTAAATTTGTCGACAATACACCTATCTGACCGATAAAACTTCCAAATTCACATTCAGCTAGTAATGTTGCGTGTTTAACGTTGAATATCACGTCGACTGCATGCGATTCGTGCTGTCTTTACTCAGACGTTTACTGCGGTATTCGCAAAGTGTGTCTAGGAGGAAGGAGAAATTATATGTGCATAAAAATAAACAACTTGTCAGCCAACATGTTCACAGTGTACCTAATTACTGCCAATTTCTGTACACGCCCCGAGCTTGCGTCAATCCAACCTAAGCACAATCGACACACGTCAAAATTCGGACATTTTTATTTGTTTACAACTTAGAGACATACAAGCAGGAGGTGTGTACGCCAAGAAATTTAGTATCCGACTACTGTAAAGTATGACAGCAAAACATTGTGTAACGAATTAATCGTCTCTTATGTCAGCCATGTTGACGTCTAATCAATGTTTGTTAAGAAACCTTGCAACGTAATTCACGAACACTTAACGAAAATGACTATAAATGCTTGCAGACAGGCGCTGAATACTAATCCCAAATCTGTAAGCAGTTGAGTATTGACGTTATCATGCTTGAGCCTTTTTACTGTGTGTATGAGAATTACTTTCAACTCAGTATTTAAGAGAGACATCGGATTGCCTTCGTAGAGGTCTGATTTCCTTAGTCTCAAAATGTAATTTGCCGTTTCACTAGCCCTTTATCGGATATTAGCCAAACTGCCCACAAAGTGCAGTTGCGTATGTCCAGTGTTCCTGCATCGCTCATTAGTATTTCAAGCGGTATTTGCACAGTTCTCAAGGCGGATTTCTGCCTAACACCCAGAAACGTCAGGTTCCCTTGCGCAGGGTAGACTTGCAGACTGATTCGCTAGTTGCAGGCGAGCCTTTTATTGAAATTCCTAGTGAATATCAGGTTTTAAGCCTATAGTTACAACGAACGTAATAATTTTATTTAAAAAATAAATCATCTGAATTAGGGTTTGCACCGGAGAAACGTCTTTATAGTTGAGCGTAAATCTAGGAGTAGTTGACGACATTAACATGAGGTTAAACCGTCGCTTAAGTAAGAAGCTATTGTTAATTCTAATGCAAGGTGATTTGCTTATGTATGTCCCCTTGTAGGTTGTTCTTCAGAATGGCCAGACAACAAGTCATAAGCAACTGCACGTTGGTGGCCGCCATCTGTTTGATGAGCCTCATGGTCGTTGAATCACTTACGCAGGGAGAGAGAGACCTCTTTCTGAATTATCACAATGAAATGCGTCATAGCGTCGTCCCCGCGGCCTCCAACATGCAAGACATGGTAAGCCTAATGTCTGATATCTCTGAATACTATTTTCCCGTGCTAGCCTCATGATACATCTGTGATCGGATGGCATCTTACCTCTTCGTACTCTATCGATTGACGGACATATGGGTTTAAAACCCCACATACAGTTGAATTTCCAAACGTTCAGTAGTCAGTTGAATCGGTATGAGCGTTGCATGTTCCTCTGTCATTCAGCAAACCTCTGATCGAAATGTAATCAATAGTTATAGGTCGGTTTATTCGGTGTACGAAACGTTAAACGCCAAAACATTGTAATCGTTTTCGTCAGGGCCGCATTTTAAAATTACGTTGCATCAGAAACATTATATTTAACATTGTGGTACTTTAATGTCATTGATTACTTTCTATACTGAAGAGGTTTCATAACCAATCAGTGGTAGCATAGATGCATTCGCCTTGACATTGCTGTGGTGAAGGAATTCTAACTAAGTCGTCGTTAACATAGTCCACATATAATAATAAGCTTGAAATGGTTGGGTTTAAAAATAAGTAGTTATGGTGTTTATTAACTTGGCATATAATGCCGATAATGGAGATCCAGCTACAAAATTAAGGTAGTAGCTTATCTTATCTATACCATAAATTGCGACTACGGTATGCAATTCAAGTACTTTCGCAAGTTGCTTTCCGAAACAACGTTTCTAGTAGACTTTGGAAATTATCAATATTAAGTGACGATCATTTAGCACTATTTCAAATTGCAGATAAATTAATCCCACTAAAGACTAGTAGGTCAAATCACTCACTCATCACATAATCCAAGAATGCACCTTTATATGTTTTGTGAAATACTACCCCAGATATGAAAATTCATATGCAAGTTTACGTTTTTTTCTCCAGATTTAAACGTCTAAACATAGTGTTTCTGGAGTTTGTCATGGCTAATTAGAATGAAAAAATTAATCTGTGCCTGAGAAATACTTTAAGAAAGGAATATGCTAATGATGGATGCGCGTAGCACTCACCGTTTCAGAACTAATATGTAAATGATTGTCCTTCACAGTACTTTATAATCTAAACTTGCAGCCAGTAGCCCTAAGGAGAGTAATTAAACTGATTGCTTGGTTAAATAAATTTATTATTAATTGGTTAGATTTGCATATTTCTGACGAAATACCACGTTCCTTTCAGTTGTGGTACTTGCCGTTCATATAAACGATGGTTAGGACTAAGTCCATAATGCCTGCATTGCACTAGGCGTAGTTTAATTCATCAGTTGCTTCTCAGGCTCCCCTATTTCTGGCTTTGTTATTTTACCGGAGCCTATTTCCTTGCAGATTTATCCTATTAAACCAAATGCGGGTAGATTATTACGGTGGGTCAAAGAGATGTTGATCGCGTTGCAAACTCCATAAATGATCAGGCAGACAAAATGTTTTAATAATGTACTTGATCGTCACTAATGTACCCGGACCATGCGCATTTGAAAAATTCTGAAATTGGAGCGATCGCTTTCAATGACACCGTTGTTAGTAAAGGTAGAAATGTTAGCTGAAGCCGCTTATATATTTCTCATCAGTAAATACATTACCATTTCTGAATTTATTCCCTTAAACCCACACAATGTTCGCAGACGAGAGTCATCAAATTCAATGGACTCTGTAGGTCTCCAATGCTAGTTCGATGTCTATACGTCTGAATGAACAGCGTTTCTTAGGTGATAACCCTTCTTTCATGATGGCGCCAGAATATTTCTTGAGATTAGAGACTTTTTTGCCGAGAGTATGTCCACGATTATTTGTCTATGTAGCAACATCATGCGCAAATTTATCTGGCGATAACAGAAATGTTGACGGAAAATCTATTGCGCATTAAAACGCAGAGAACTTTAAAAGGATCAACTGCTTCCTGCATTATAGGCGTTTGTCGAATGTTCTCGGGAACACCTAAAATATATTCCGTGCATTCAAGGTCATACGACAATTTCTACATGATATTTTCCAGGCCTTTGAAACTGCATCTTGGGTGGAAACTCCAAATAAAATGCATTTTTCCTGACAATTTTGAATACAAATCCATTGCTTCCGCATTTTTGCATTTTATATCCTGAAACGCATTACCAAAATAGGCCGCTGTTACTATTTAAATTGTTTCTAGGTGTATGACACAGACCTGGAAGTTTTGGCACAGAAGTGGGTTAAAAGGTGCAAGTTTGAACATCCATCGCGAAATGAAGAGGAATATCGTCCGTCGGGTCAAAATCTCGGTGCAACGGGCGGTCTGGATGGGGAGGCCTCCATCCGGAAAGTTATGAAAATGTGGTACGATGAGAACAAGAACTACAACTACGACCGTAATAGCTGTAATGGCGTTTGCGGACACTATACACAGGTAAATAAACCTCCCATTTTTAAGTGTACGGGGGCCCAGCCCTTCCAATTTCCTAAAATATACTGCGAAAGAAGTGATAAATTGAATGCCTATTGGCCTTGTGCTCTACTGCATTTTATGTGCATTGTCCGATTATTCCTATTAAATGTAGAACATCCCTTTTGGGCCAATTACTGCATGGCATGTAATCACACGATGACTGTTAGCTTTTGTATGAGAGACAGCGTGTTTTTCGGCCTAGTGTGTGCTTTCCTTGGGCAACAGAAAACTGAATCAGAATTTTTCAGCTTAAAAGTGATTAGTCTTCCAATTTAATTTCCTCTACAAATCATCAATTTTTTTTAGTTTTTTTTGGCCGACAAGTAGTACACTTACGGCCATCAGCTGAACTAGTTAGAGATGGATATACGTTGGGGTCTATTGGCTGGGCTTTCAGTACGGGGTCTTCAGACAATGGCAACAACATGTACACTGTGCACGACATATATCTGCTTACAGACATCACATATTTCCAATATAGACTGACCAGCAACTAAAAGTATCTATTTACATCAACTTTATTAGGTTCTACTGATTTTCTGTAGATTAAACAGATCTGAGCAATTGAATTATGCCCAACACCGCGGTCAACCATAAATTAATCTGCGATACTTTGTCACTGCATCCGACTTTGCTATGTTAAGTAGTCTTAGCAACACAGCGCCCTAATTAAAAAACATATAAACATGCTGTTTGTTATTTCTGCAATATAAGAGGAAATGGAGCGATACTGTTGAGGTAACGTTAGAAGTTAGTTACAGATAGATGACGAGTAATCTATCAAACCACTACCAGCTGTGAACAGATAAAGTTTTTTAATGCAACTTTTCTATCGAATTTCACCAAACGATGTAAACCAAAGTTTTACATGCCACTAACCCAAATAAAGCTGTCTTTTAGACAAACGTTCATTTTACCCTAGGGGCGGATATAACTCATGCTTTCTATATATGCATTTTTTGCCAATGACAGATGGTCTGGTGGAATTCAAACAGAATTGGCTGCGCGATGCAGACATGCAGCGGTATTTTCCCAGGAATGGAGGCCAATTTCATTGCCTGTCAGTACGTCGCAAGGTAGGTCATACTTTCATTCTGTTAAAAAACGTAAAGATTCTTTGCATAATCTACATTTTGCAGTATGGCATAACAGAATCAGTTTCTCAAGTGAGGAGCAAATAGGCTAGGCTACAGCGAAGTAATTTGTTAACAGGCAGGCCAGTTCTGTAAAACCATTTCCCGTTTTCATGTTTATTCCTCACTCCTGACACGCACTCTCATATTACATGCAGCTCAAAGAAGAATAGCACCAATTGGTGGTTGATGTCCAGTTAATTCTTATCCTGACAAATGGGAATGAGCAACGAAATCACTTCTCATACTGGTATATGGTTTTGTATACGTGAACATATTTTTCTAAAAGTGAATGTATAGGAAAATGCAACTCTTGAGGCGGAACAGTAAGACCTCCAACAGTGACCTGTCTTTCACTCTTAAATGGGACGGATGCCTCATGTTCTGCTCGGCGTGCTTGCGATCGTTTCAGCCTTTCATTATTCTCAAAGCTGCATAAGTCAGACCTGAATTTGCCCTTTCCCCCATCATAACACGTATTGATTTATGACGAACGATCACTTTGAAATGTGGACAACATGTCATTTTATTTGGCGAAATCACATAGTTGTTACTCTAAATCAACATGGTAGTGCAAACTCGCCACCTTGATCCCGCGTTTTTGGCCCGTACCCCTAAGTACGATCGCAGATACACGCGGTGGAAAACGGTACGCGTGAATTTTTCGATCTCATCACGCGTAGCAAGCAGGCTCGTAAGATTTTGTCTTTTTCAGTCACGCCTTTGCGCGTGCTGAGTGAGAACGACGCGGTGCAGCTCTCTCCTTCCAATGTGCTATGCAATCAAAATAACTAGAAATCGCATTTTTGTTTTATTACTCTATGTGCCAGCTAAGCGCGAAGAAAAAGTGAAACATTGTCATGCATTCTGTGCATTTGATTTCTGCTTGACAAAATCTATAGTGAAATTTCATCATCGTACAGACGCGAATAATGTCTAATAAATATACTTCTTTGACCGCATTAACGGTGACTAAATATGGCAATTTTTTTATGGTCATTACATTACTATGTTAATGATAACTATCGGCATGATCAGCAGGCCATTTGGGCAAAAACATCGCACTTTGGCAAGGATGTCATGCATAATGTTTAGATATTTTTCTTTGTCTTCATGCCAAACAAAATCCTGCGAGTACTTCCATAAATGCTTCTCTCTGACCACTGCAGATAATGTTTTCCACTTCAGGGCGATTTTTGTTTTTCACTACTGATGCATAAATACTTCATTTTGCAGGGGTAACTACATAGGCCAAAGGCCATACGCAGTCTAATCTGGCAGACAAACAATTCAGAATTATCTGCGGCTACGTTTACATGAGGTGAAGGGTTTAACTGTACTTTCAAATGATTGAGTAAAACTATTCTGCAAATTGCTAGATTCTTCTTGCTTCAAATAGTAGTGACTTAATGCGCCAACGAACGCTGAATTTGCCTCGAATAAGCGTGTGGGTTTATGGGTAAATTACTGACGTAATCTCAGTAACCGTCATCATTTGGGAAATTGGCGTTGGAATCTGGAAGTTAATTCATGATACTAATGAACTGCTGTAAATATTTTGGGAGCAAAAACCAGACACGCTGCTAATGAGATGATTGTAGAAGGACGATCAGCGATCGGACTGCAAAAATCACTCCTCCCGTTGTGTTTTAGTACTCTCTCTTGAGCCTTGTCAGAAGCGGCACGGCGGCGCGTGATATAAGTAATATAATATTCTAACCCATAGATCGCGGAATCGAACCCCGCGGGTTCCACACACCGTGGTTGATGTTGACGGCCAATAGGCCAGAATTGGCCATCTCGGTCCCCCCTTTTTGTCGGTTATGCTATTTTGCCCAGTAAAATGAAACTATTCATATCGGCGTTTTCTATATGTATGATGTGCTGCGAAATTTGCGGAAAGATATCCGTATTTTATTTGAAAAGTTACGAAGAAGTCTATTTGTGTTAGAAGAGTGATGTAACTTGGTATTCAGTAGCTTATTTTTATGAGGTATTTTTAAGAAAAATGACGACTGAGGTCTAGCTGGAGATGGCGCAGCTTGCTATTTACTGTATCCGTTGTTGACCGCTAAATTGACATCTCATTGAATTTGATGGTTACCCAAACTATCAGGCGTCAACGGTTCTTGAAAGTCGGTGTCGGTCGAAGAGCTCCTTCCACATTTTGCCATCTAGGCTAAATTCGGGGGGTTTGTCTAAAAATATGACATCGTAGAAAAGTAAATGCTTTCCCAAAATGAACGCCTTAGATCAATATATTTCTCGTACTTGAGGAACGAAATTGTCGTCGTCTATTTAGAGACATTTTTGACCCACTTTGCTTACCTCTTGACACTGTTTCTTTTTAATTTCCGAAGAAACTAACTGCGAACTTGTAGAAGGTTAGCATATAATTAGCAATTATGAATATTTGGGCTGAATTTCATCCGCCACAGGGAGATAACCGCGTTATCTTAATTAACTGCCAACGAGCAGCTAATAATTTATTTTATAGTCACACTGAACCATACAGTGAGTGACCTATCTCATGAAATGTTGGCTGAAATTCTGAAATGCGTTTTCGATTAGGAAGGATTGCTTGGTCGCGTTTGTTGTACTGATTTTTTTAAGGCATACTTTTATAACATTTCCGACTCGGCAGAATGTCGGCTTTCAAATGCACTTCTTTTCAGTCTCCTGTAGAAAGCGTGCTTTGTAAAAAATTACTACTTAAGACGCATGCATTTCACCATTGATTTTCTATGGTCTTGGAAATTCAAATATATTTTATAGCAACCACAAAAAATATGCTTTCTTTGAATCAATCAATAGAGAAGTACGTCTTCTTTATATTTTATACTTAAGGAAGGAGTATGATTAGGTTTTAAAAAAGTTTCTAATTATGAGACTTTTTAAGACAGCGATATGTCCTTTCACAGAGCATCGTACCTGGCCGTTTACCACTGCTCCTCATGAAATGTACAACATGGTCCGCATCCATTGCAAAATTTTATGGACCCTGTATGATATCTCTTTAATAACATAGAAAAATATGGGAATTTCTTTATGCGGAACGCATGCACCTTGTAGAGTGTAATCACTAAGCGCTAATGCATTGAACGATCAGGCTCCAAATTTTTCGGCAATTAGAAAACTTTTTCAAAACCTAATCATACTCCTTTCTTAAGCATAAAATATAAAGAAGACGTAATTCTCTATTGATTGATTAAAAGAAAGCATATTTTTCTTTGTGGTTTCTATAAAATATATTTGAATTTCCAAGACCATCGAAAATGAATGAGAAAAAGGCATGCTAATCAAGTAGTCATTTTTTACCAAACACGCTTTCTACAGGAGATTGAAAAGAAGTGCACTTAAAAGCCGACACCCTGCCGAGTCGGAAATGTTATAAGAATATGCCTCAAGATAATCAGCATCACAACCGCGACCAAGTAATCCTTCCTAATCGAAAACGCATTTCAGAATTTCAGCCAACATTTCATGAGATAGGTCACGCACTGTACAAGGTACCGTAATGGTTATAAGAATGCGCTTTCATAACGCAACGCGCACAAATAAGGGGATTTAATAGGTGATATTTAGTATCATGTGATATCCGGAAACGTGAACGTTTGCGCAATCGTGATCTGCATCCCCTCAAATAAACCTTACTAACGGGAACTCTTTCTTGGAAAGAGACTTTCTAGGCTTCCAATCAGTTCTTAAACTAAAATAGCCATATCAGTGTTAACTTGAGTATAATTAGCTGCACTCACGCCAGTGTAGGCCAGTATGACAGGGAATTTCGTGATGCATTTCACACACGCCCGCTCGTATAAGCCACAACCTCCTGAGCGTCACGTAGTTGATAACAACCCATTCGCATAAGTGCAAGTTAAAGTCCTATGGAGCATATGCTGGCCCGTTTGTACTTTTATCTTGTGATGCATCCTTCTGCAAACACAAACACTCAGAATAAAAGAACGTCTTGCAGCAGTGCTCATTTTCTCGTCTCGTCTTCATCACATACGGACGGAAGTCGCAGCCGTCTGAAACTAAGGTATAGTTTATTGTTAAAAGGTAGCGCACGCTCTTGCTCAATCCTCATTTGACTCGCAGATACCTTTTTTCAGGCCAAGAAGTTGTGTAAGAAAGGTCAACCGCTTATATTAAACGGAATTAGTTTTTTTTCAAATATAGCGTAAAATATGTCAGATATAAATAATTCTGGACCATGCAATGTGTGAATGCAATTCGAACTGTTTACAAAACTGTCAGAGAATGCTGTTCACAAGCAAACGTTTATTAAGCATAAGATTATCCTAACGACGTCAATTTCCATGTTTCATTTTCGCCAAAACAACTTTTTTACGCCCATATTAAATTATTCTACAAGAGCATTTTACTTTGTTGCCATTCAGCTTTATGTGTACAGTTATGACATTAGTTACGCACGTTCGCTGTATTTTCTTTCGTTGGAAGAAGAAATATAAAAGGACAAATATTTAGTTAGGTTCTGAAATTAAAAAGGCGCCCTGCGCAAACCTAAACTATTCATTATCGATCGTTCTGTGCGGTTCCAACCGTTGGACTTCACTAAGAATTTTTGGACGGCTTTTAGTGTAACAGCTTTACCATAAACTTAAGATACGGGGTTGTAGACGAACGACGACTAGGAGATCGAAAATCAAAATAAATAAATCTACATATCCATAGACTTAACATTACACGCTACGTTTCCCCTATATGTGGCGTACATAATGCCTGGCCTCCTTCGAATAAATGCAACGTTGATCTCAGGATACCTGCTGCAAAATAAAATTCATTTATTACCTGATGAAGTCTAATTTGCACCGTCGATTTTCTTAATAAGTCTTAAGTCATAAATTACTGCTAGAGAGATGACCCGCCTCGTTTGTCCGAGTAGGATGACGGCAAGCCAGCAGGAGGCTTCCTCTCAAGCTCAGTTTCCACTGTCCGCAGTATGCAAGGGTCAGCTCATTAGAGGATTTTAAATGCGCTATATCTAATCATCCTAAAAGGGTTGCCTGCCTTGAACAAAGTGAAAGCAGTTCAGTTTGATTACGGGACTGTGAATGCGAATGCAAAAAATACTTTGTTAGTTGCCTGCCCAGGTTCATTGATTCCCATGATAAACTAATCAGCTCAGGTTAAGTTATCGCTGAACTGCCGAATAAAACCGAATTCTATGTGGTTTCAACCAGCTGCCTTGTGTTACTGTTGCCGATATTAGACGCTTGCAGTATGAATTCCCTATAGTTCCCGTAATTTAACGCAATGACCTTGTTTGTTCTGATATTTACAGGTTGGCACATAGTATCAATACCAGGCCGTTTGATCTTGTGCAAAATTTACGTGTTAGGTTAATTTTTCCATTCACAATCAGTTCCTTTCTGATAGCAACATTTTTTTATTTACCTGCTGAATTCTTCGTAGCTTCTTTAGATCCAAATCTAATCTTATAATTTGAAACTTTTCTAAAACCTCATTGTACCCTATTACCGAGTATACAATGTCAATATAAGGTTATTCTCATCAAACGCGTAAAAGTCAGCATATTTTTATGCATGTTTTCTCTAAAATATATTTTAATTTGTAGGATCATCGAAAATCAATGTGAGGAATGCATGCCACTTTAATAGTCCCTTTTACTAACAGGGGTTCCTATGGGGTCAAAAGGGAGTGCATTCAAAGCCGACATCATGCCGAGCCCAGAGATTGTATGATTTTCTCGTGTGATCATCCAAATTTAAAGCCCATCTCAGTAATTCTCCCAAACCGGGGGCGCATTTCAGAAGTTCAGCCAACATTTCATGAGATCCGTCAATCCTTGTGTCTTCCACTTAGGCGTCAAATCTATAACCAACAACATGTAGCACGCAAGTTTTGTTTCAGACCGCGTATGTCGTTGATGGCGCAACGCACGCCTTTAGAGTAATAATTGGACATTAATATGTCATTATCGGTGTTTTCAAGTGGATGCCTCCAGTGTCTGTAAAAGACTGACTAAAAGATAATTCTTGACCCATTACAAACCGCAGAATCTTGTTTCAGTACCTTTACAGACTTATTTCCGAAAAGCGTCTTACTGATGACGATAAAATCAAATTTAATAAGCAAATTAGCGGTTTTGTTTTCGCTAGCATGCTTGAATTGTGCTTCCGACGTTACGCATCAAGGCTGGCATTCGAATAAAGGGATGACTTTTATTGCATGCGTAATTTTTTGCCATCGTATTCTGATACAGGCTAACGTGGTACCTTCCATGCGCACAGGCCACTGACAAAAAATAATGAGAATATGACAGACCGGCATAATTTTACAAAATCTATCTTTATATGCTACATTCCATTGTTACTACGTTAATTAGCGTCACGCACAGACTTACAGCTATTTTCAACCGCATCATCTGATCTGACCGTTTAGTATGCGCAACAGAAAACTGTGCCTTTGCTTCCTTGTTGCTGTCGCAATTGTATTGGTGAATATTCTATCGATCGCGGCACTTACGGATATTCAAAGGGACTTCATTCTGCAGTTTCACAATGATAAACGCTTCAATGACACTCCACGGGCTGTCAACATGCGAGTCATGGTGAGTTGGTTTATGCTATTTCATTTGCAAACATGACATGTTCCAATGCAACAAAGATTTTTTATGGATTTATTCGCAAATCATATATCAATTTAACATCTGTCGATCTAATATATGAAATACATTTAACTGCGTTGTATACTGCCAACAAGTCATCGCTTAAAGATCCCGTCAAACGTCAGGTCCGCCATGCAAACAGAAGCCGTCATTTGACATTTCCACATGATTAGACATCATGAAGCATATAATCTGGAGGATGTACAACGTGCCTGACCTGAGGCAGGATGCGAATACGACAAAACACAAATAACAAGGAAGCATTGTCAAGCAGGTGCAAGGAGGATATGTGAAACAAATTTGGAACGATCCATCCGCAGCAACTGTGTATCTACGAACGCTTAAGAAATCTTGAATCCAGTTCAGGAGATTTCCCCTTATTCTTACACCTGACAACTTTCGAATGGGAAACGCAATCAAACGCTTTGCTAAAGTCAGAGTTAATGACATCCACTGGGTGTTCTTCTGCCATGGACTTTGACCAATTTTCGAGCGACGTAAGCGGTTTTTGAGGGACGAGACCTATCTTCACGGAAACCGTGCTGAAGCAAGCCGATATAACTTCACGACCTCTAAATCGAATGCGTATAGTCAGTGCATCTGGACGACTCAAGCGTGATAGATAAACGCATACAGGTGTTGACCTCGTGGACTCTGGTCATGTGATGACCCAATGACAGCATTTGACGTTATAGTCCACGCGACGTCTTGGCGTCTCCTGCGCTCTTCTAAATCCCCTGCTGTACGGAGGAGACTGTCACAACTATCGTACCAGTTGTATCTCGTGACTAACCTCGCGCTTCCATAAGACGGGTTGATGACGTGAATGGCCCCATTTCCTCTCCCGTTCCCTAATCCGCCCAACTGGACTGACTACTGTTCCCTGCTGTGCTGTCATGCTTGACGAGGTTTTGCTGTTTGCCGGAATCGCTCACATAGACGACCCCTCTCTTCTCGCCCCTTGCCTACCAGCACATCAGATCAGCTTTCCCTCTACTTACCCATTATGCTTTATCCCCCTTGACAGTGTACTAACTGAGAATTACGAAGTTGAGTAAGTGGTTGCGGAATTCGACGACATCACTAAGCACCGGAAATGTCGTCGCTCTTGTCCCTTCCTAATCTTCAAGATTTTTGTATAGATGAAAAGGCTTACAAATGTATAAAAACCCATGATGTGTTTTAATGTGATAAGCTTTACTGCTACCGAAGCTGTAATCTGAAAAGTTTAGTCGCATACTTATTTCATATTGACTAAACCATGAAAAGTCGGCGCCTCGTTGGAATTCAAACCCATGAAAGCAAGGGAAAGGCTAGAGCGTTCGTTGGACTAAAGCCTTTCCACTGCTGTCGTGCGTTCCAATCCCACCGAAGTGCCGACGTTTTCAGAGCTGGGTCAATATGAGCTATTCAAACTCTGCCAAAACATCAACATCCTAAATTTTTCGGCTTGCGTAGAACGGCATTCCAAGGACAAAACTCTTTTCATCAAGCAAAATCTCTAACATGAGGTTATCGTCGACTTATGGTTGATCATAATATTTAATTTTTTTAATTCGCAATGTTAACCTTCAAACATTTTGACGATTACTCTCAATTCCTTGTCTTTTTATTCTATACAGACGTATGATTTGGGTCTTGAAGCTCTGGCGCAGCGTTGGGTTAACAGATGCAAGTTTGAACACCCGTCACTTTTAAACAAGGAATATATTAGTTCGGGCCAAAATATCGGCGCCACTGGCGGAATGAGTGAAAATGTCACGGTTGATGCAATTTTAAGAGCTTGGTATGCTGAGAAGCTGTTCTACAACTACGCTAGTAGGGCATGTTCAAAGGTGTGCGGCCACTACACTCAGGTATGCTTACTTAATCCCGCTTGGCAATGCACCTCTTGAGCAACATTTTAAATTTCTGGTTTTAAATAATATTACGAAGATCGAGGTAACATATGAAGAGGAAAGAAAGTCGATTTGAAAATGTTTTACTAGTTTAGGATTCAACATTTTAAATCTGATCTCACAAACGCCAAAAATATTGCGCACCTTTTTAAAGTGAATCTCTCAGCATTATGAAAATTCCTATTTATTTGCAGAATGTTGTCTAGTATAAGTAAAATATAAGGGTTTTTTGCAAATACAGTAAGTGATCAATCTCGTGAAATATTAGACGGAATTCTAAAATGCGTTTTTGATTAGGAAGCATTACTTAGGTGATGTTGTAATCCAGATTGTCCTGTGGCACAATTCTGTAATATTTCGGACCTCGCAAGATGCTGGCTTTTGAATGCACTGCTTTTCAACCCTCCGCAGAAATCTTACGTGGTAAAAAATGACTTCTTAAGTAGCATGCATTTTCACACTAAGACTGAGTGTCTTACGAATTCGAATATATCTTATAGAAACCATAAAACTATGCCTTATTTCAGTCGTTTGATAGGTATTCCCCTATATTTTATATTTTTATACTAGAAAAAAGAAGAATAGTTAGGTTTTAAAGAGGTTTCGAATTACGAGATCTTTTAAAACCGCGCAATGTCCATTCATAAGACATCGCACCTATCCGTTTACCACCGGTACAACATAGCCCCTATCCATTGATAATTAAGTGGACTGCATATTATATCTTTTAAAATGTACAAAAAGAATATGGGATTTTTGCATGCACCTTGTAGGCTAAAATCACTAAGCACTAATGCAACGAATGATCATGTTCCAAATGACTCGTCAATTAGACGGCGTTTTAGAACCTAATTATATTTCTTTTTCGAGTATAAAATCGAAAGAGGACGTAAAATTCTATCAAACGCCTAAAAGAAAGCATATTTTTACGGTTTCCATAAGATATATTTGAATCCGCAAGACAAGGAAAATCTATTTGAACAATGCACGCTACTTAAGTAGTCATATTGACCGAGTACGGTTCCTATGGGAGATCGAAAAGCAGGGTATTCAAAAGCTATTATCTTGCGAAGTCCGAAATATTATAGGGCTATGCCGCAGGACAATCTGTATTTCAACCGCATGTAAGTTGTCCTTCCTAATCGAAAAGGCATTTCAGAATTTCAGACAACATTTCATGCGAACGGTCACCCACTGTAGGCCACATTTAGTATTTGGCACATTTTAGTGAGCTCCTCCATGTCAGACATGTTGTATCACCAGGCATAGGTTTTTTATATCCTATGGCCTTATGTGTCTACTTAATCAAGTATGCATAATGATTTCAACAGACTCCGTGTACGTTCAACGTTTATTTGGTGTCATGATAGTCCAAGTAGTATTTGAACGCATGCAAATCGTTTGTTTTTAATGTTTGGCATTTTCCTTTCTATTAAAATGTAATATACTGAAATCGCTAACAGAATCAAGGATTTCTAATTGAATTCATTGCATCCACTAACAGTTGCATTGTTTGAGGAATGGATATTTACTAGGTTTTTACGGAAGTAGCTAAATGGAAGATAATAAATGCCTATCATGCTTTCAAGCAGTCATGACCAGTTAGTCATTCACAAGACCCTAAATGTATGGTCTATGGCGCAAAATATTTCCGTAACTATATTTGCACTTTTCCATGCTGAAGTTGAGAGTACATAATTTTGTACTAAGAAATCGTGTATAATGACGCAAACATTTGTGACTTTGTAACATCCGAATTCTGAAACACCTTCAAGTCACTAGCGGGGAAAGCAAAAATTAAACATAGCACTGTCGGCGGTTTGATGATTCATTCTGTGATTTCGATGTTCTGCCTTAAGTTGTTTCTGAATTCTTTAAGTCTATTTGCTATCCTGTATCTATAAACTATAGAAGTTCGTTTCTAAAAGTTTTATAAATCTTGTTTTTTTTCTCATCAATTCTAGATGGTCTGGGCGGCCACGGACAAAATCGGCTGCGCAATTCAGACATGTCAAGGCATTTTCCCCGGAATAGAAGCGTTCTATTTCGCTTGTCAGTATGTAAAGAGGTAGGCTCTCTTTTCAGTATTTCATCGATATATGAGTATATCAAACTTTTGAAATGGCAAAAACTTTTGCTGTTAGTATCGCAAGTCTAGATGATCAGCATAGTATAATGAGGAGCACGCCGTTGGCTGGAAAAATTGTGCAGAAACTGTACCGTTGACCAAAACACAAAAACGCGTAATCAGAAAGGTTTTCCGTCATTCAAAAATTTGTCTGTGATCAAATTTATATTTTACATAGTAGATTACTGTGTGCTCTTTACACAAACCCATGAAGAAGCCAATGATAAGTTTACTAGAATCTAATACTGAAATTATTTCGCCTTACCAAGATTATTTAGGTAAAAATTATTGCACGATGTGAAAGCAGATATATAGAGATGTTCTAAGAGGTTAATTCTCTTCCATCTTTATTTAAGTGAGAATCAGGCATATACTCTCAGTACATACCTTGCCGCGAGGAATGACATTGATATTCGCTCATAAGTCTGTCGTTTAACGAGAAATTCAAATTACACGACAGAAACGGAAAATCGTGATCTATATTCGTTAAAAAATAGCAACTAACTCAAAAACCTGACTCGAACAAGATTTGACGCCTGGTTTGTTTGGATCCGTACCTCGTGTGTAAAAGGCTCTGTGAACTTAAGCGATTGGAATTGTAGTAGAGATTACGAAAAAACACATGAGTGTAACGTAAGTAGTACACGATATGGCAGATAATTCTGCTCTGCCTCAAGCCTTATTGTTTCACACTCGTTTGACTCGGCAAAAATTGACGAGCCACATGCCATCCAGAAGAATCCCCGATTAGAAAAACACCATTTGAGATTGACGACGAGGGTAACAAGCTTTACTTTAAAAGTATCATCCGAACATTTTCAGCAAAAAAGGGGCTTCATTCACCTTATCCAGTATGTAAGTTTAAAAATTATACACGACACAAAAAGACTTGCACAGAAGAATATTTATCTATTACGGTGATAGTTCATGTCTCGGAGTATGGACTTGTGTCTCTTAACATGTAAGACACCGTGCTCGAAATGGCAATACAGAAGGCTGATATGCAGATATACGAGAAGAGAGATACCGAAAGCCAGGGCGTGTGCGCGAAGGATTTCACGGTAATTACATCAGAAATAAGGGACTGAACGTCATCCAGCAATCAATCAGTGGATTGCGTGACGATTACGAGGGGTTTTTATATGACAGTATTGACTAAAAAGACACAATAAACATCGGCAACAGAAGAGAGCAATTGCAGGACGCGTTTCTATCCTTCATGTCTTTTTTTAAGCAAGGCAGAAAAACTTGCAGATGAAAAATAAAGAATGAGAGGGAAAATGCAGCCATCTAGTAATCACCAGACTATGGATTGAGGTGGGTGAAAGGAACGCAAATAACGAAAGTAAGAAATAAGATTACGAACTTAGGTAGAAAGGGTCTCAACATGAAAAAAGGTAAAAGATTTGATGCCAGAGTAGCACTTAAGTACTCGAAAAAAATTCTTCATTTAAAAGGATGTCCAAGAATTCAAGATAGGGGGAAGATCACAGTCAAAAAATATATAGTGGATTTATTTCTGATTTTCCGGTCACAGACCATTTTCCAATGATCACGTCGAGGCATGGTACAGGTCTTCTCCAGAAAACTAAGGATGACTCTGATTTTTGAACAGGTTACCAACAGTCATATCTTCCATACACTCAAAAAACCGAAAATCATTTGACAATCTCAAGTTATCAGTGGGTAACAGAAGAGGTGAGGGAACAAGAGGGAACCTGAAAGAACTCTACGGTTATTAAGAACAGTAGATTTTCATTTGCCAGATTGGACAACCTGAGAAAGAAAAGTAAAATAGCCACCAAGCCAAGAGACATTCCAGCCGGAAAAGTCGCGTGCGGCTGTTTTAAGGAGGTAAATGTTGCACGGAATGGTATTAAAGACGAAGGATTAGTCAAGAAATGTACATATGTTCGTAATGGCAACACATATTTAGATGTACTAGAGCAGAGTGGATCACAAGAGCAACAGCGTCTAGGGCACTGCGGCTAGCCACGCATGTAGATTACAAAGAACCAGATGAATTGGAAGAAAATAGTATGGTAATATCTAAAGCGACATGTTCAGCAGGCTTCAATAGTACGAAAAGGCAGACAACCGGACGCAAAGATTTAGTACCAAAATTAGACGACTGTTTTAGGAAAAGAAATGATTCCTTCTGTACGCCAGGTCTCAGAATTCCTGGCATCCACTATAGGCATGTTAATAAAACTTCTCGAATCAGGGGCTATGTAGAAACAAGATTTAAGGAAAAATGTTGTGAAGCTGTCCGGCCCGGCAGCTGCTGAATCACGGGCATTTTACGATGTTTCTCCACTGTCGACGCAGACACAGGCAGGAAGACACAGGAAAGTAGGGAAATATCTTTTGAGGAAAGGTTAGAGTCATTGAGGGAAGGAAACATTTCTCGTTCATGTAGTCTAGGTCAGCATTCACATGTATCAGTGTCCTACGTTGTACCCCTCAGAACAGTTAACTTCATGTATACCGCTGTGAAAGGGACGTTTCGACTCAGTCACTCAATTTTGTTCCTATTACTGACTACAATAAGCTGAAAAGTAGGCTTGGCATTAGTGGTTTTGTACTGTGCACGCTTGAATGCAGATACTGATGACACCTTACTGAAGACGAAATATTGCCAAAAGCATATTAACGCAGATACACGCATGGTCAGTGCCAAGACATTTGATGAACTGACTATTGGTATTTTTTTCTACAGACTTGATATGAGCTTTCTATAACTACAACCATAAAGCCTGAGGTCCATGTTTGAAATCTGCTATTTGACATATTAAAAATATCATTGTATATTACTTCAAAGCAAAGTGTACCAGAAATGCCTGTCTCGCAATGAAGTCGTTAACACTCTTTACTCAAAAGAATTTTCTTTCTTTTCAGAGGCAACATTATCGGTCAAAGGCCATACAAAGTCTGAAATAATATTCCACAGTTCAAATGCAAATAAAGTAAACGCCATTCCATTATAGCGAGATGAACGGATTTCATTTGATTACCCTATTTTAAGTTTGGAGTTCTTTTACATGAGAATAAATATATAAAAAGCCTTAATACCTGCTACTTTGCCTCAATAAGATCCAGACAGGTGGAATGTTTGATTCATTAGGGGCTCTTTGCATTGGAGATAACATTAAGGCAGTTGTTTAGGGAATGACCACTAGAGATAGTTGGGGTTTACCTTAAATGAAACAAAGCTTAAAATGGAACACAATTTTTCCCCCAGTGCTAACTAATGCTTTTTCGTGTTTTAATTTAAAAAATTTAGAAAACTTTGAAAAATGAATTGATTAAAACATTTCATAGCGGCTTATGAAGGCTTACTGTCACAAGTAAGCTGTCAGAAAAATAAAAGAAAATACTAGTTTCCATTTGAATGTATTCTTGGCAAAACTGTTCATGGAAGACAAATCAAAATTATTTAAAATTCCTTGTCTGCTAAAGTTCCACTGAACGCACTCGAGCGCTTAATGTTACACTTGGATCTTCATAAGAAAATTATCTCTAAACACTCAGCATGAAGATGCAGCCACTACCATATCTCTAAAAAATTAAGTTTAATTTTTGCCGAAAAAATGTCGAAGACTTGGTTTTATCATAAGTTATGCCGTTTAAAAATATGCAAGATTGTTCCATGGGCTCTGCCTGAACAATTAAATGATTTGCATAGCTCTTCCGAAGATGCTTTTGATGTATACTAAAAACAGTGTGGTGAAGTGCGTCAAGATGGATCATCAAAAACAATCCAGGTTCACTGGTCGTTCTTGCTGAAACCAGAAATATAAAACGAGTAACTTTATTTCTGCATATAAGCTGAGTTAGACATGCACAGCAATTCATAATTAACAAATGACTGAAAGCACGTTTCGTGGAGATACGACAGTATTGATCAAAGTTTGAAATCGATCATTGCAATCCGCTATGAGGAATCAGTTCAACTGGCCGAATCTTAGGTGTAATTGTTCAAAAAATCGATTTTATTTTATCAATGTTTTGCCCGCATCCCGATCGTTAGTAGCAGAAATGCTGACTGTATACTTTGGGTGGACTACTTTTCATTGTGGATGCAATCTGGACAAACGTAGGAAAAACTACTGCTCAGAAGAAAAGGCCTCTGCTTGAAGACGAGGTGTGTTCGCTTGACGTTTCGGATTCCCACTTAAGCCCACCATCAAGGAGAGCAACAGATAAGGTTAATGGAGGCACAAGGAGTGCAGTATTTGTAGGACGAAGTTGTCACACTGCCACGTGCCTACTCGAGTTACCGGCTCCCGCAGTTCACTAGAAGGAGGTGCGATCACTGGAACAGGGAGGTCATTGTTCTGACGTTTTAGAATCTCTCTAGAACCCATCATCAGAAACAATCCCAAACAAAATTATTGGAGATTCAAAGGATGTGGTCTTAATAACACGTAGATGTCGTGAGCTACTAAAATCCACAATTCTCATGATCATCGCCGTGAGTCGTAATTTATGCGCTGATTGCTCGTCAGACCACCTTCGGGTAGTTAGTTGCCTCAATCTCATCATCCGTGTTGGATATTTGCGTAATGCTTACTGGGTATTTTGTTCCGCTGTCAACAAAGCAGTTGAGCGCCCGCACCCTCCCCAGCGTGATTGATTTCCCTGTTTAGGAAATGTCTCAACACTGAATATGGTACCGGGAAGTCATTGCTCTTGTTGATGGATGGCGGGCCTGTAAACCATTATTCGTGCAACTCGCGACTGGCGCGGTTGTAAGCTCTTGCAAGGATTTCGAACTCTTGAAGCCTAAAAATATAGCCGAGACCTGTCGAGTAAGCCGCCACCTGAGAGATAGCGTCTTTCCTCCTCAACGCCGCTGCGTGCTTAGTCATCCACGTTCAGAGTAATCTAGTTTCTTCGACGTAGTTGCTCTGTTTGCAAATGCATCAGATCCGGTGAACGACTCTAGACATTTCCTGCTATTGAATTTATGCCTTTGGCGCCTGATGGATGCTTCCTGCTGTGCGCAACCCAACTCCAAGTGGATTAGGTAGGCGGCCCCTAGAACAAATCGTCGGGGCTCCCATTTGTTGTGATAATTGCATATTATTTACGATCGTGTCGTTAATTGCCGCTATGCAATCGGTGTAGTGGATTCTTAGCGTGACAATCATCCGACAACTTGGCTCACCGCCAATAGAGGCGTTGGTCGCCCGGACCTTCCGACATGACCACTTACTCAACATGATCATTTCCAGCGCAGAATATAGATGCAGACGTTTACTGCGCCTGTTGGTCGACTGAAATCCGGAGAACATGCCTTGTTTAATTTCCGAAGAAATTAATGCGCAAACTTGGAGTAAATCTTTCGGAACAGACCTTTTCAGGCACAATCTGAAATGTGATATGAACTGTTGAGCTGAAGTCCATCAGCTTCTGCGGAATAACCGCTTTATATTCACAAGCCGCCAACAGGCAGTCAGAAGTATAGAATTCCGCAATGATTCACCGTACTTACAACACAGGTATAGGCTAAAAGCTCAGACACGCGTGTTTCGCCGATATTATGCCGCTGGCTGATGCAGCTGCGAGGGGTTACCCAGGCTTTCCCCGTGTGTTTTCTGGTATATGAACTGCAGTTTTCCGAGGAACTTAATGCACGAACTGGGGGACCTTCGACGAGCCGAACCCCTCGCAGCTGCATCAGACAGCGGCATATGATCATTGAAACACGCGTGCATGGGCTTTAATTAATACCTGTGTTATTAGTATGGTAAATCATTGCACAATCCGGAGAACTATGACTCAAGCGACTGTCGGTACATGCAGTTGTTTCCTCTTATGAAAATGTTAATCTTAAAAGACCTGAAGGTGTGGTCGAGTCCCGCTAAATGAGCCATGAATTTGGACTTACAAGTCGTCATCAGTCAGCCATGACCATATTTCGCTTTATCCAAGGTGTTCTTTTTCCGGTTTGTAAGCAAAATTTGAACCAACAAAAGTTACTGATTCAGAAATGACTTCACTTGAATCCGCAACGATCAAAATAAACTGTGCGATCCATTGTCGTTTTTTTAAAGTTCTGATTTTACTTAGCACGTGTCTGCCTAAGACTACAACACCCAATTAGGAGCACGTCATGAACCGTTCGAGTCGCGGTGACAGTCCACATGCGTCATTTGTGGTTGCGCCTGCAATTAATCCTTGTATAAAGCAGAACGTGTGGGCGAAGAGGGCATAGAGGCTTAAACCAAACACAGCGCACCCCACCTAGGGCGTAGCGGCATGACCACCCCGTACCCGGCAAGTACCCGGACTCCTACTAGCACTTAACGTCACCTGCCTTCCATGTGAAGATACATGCAGAAATTTAGAATAAAAAGCTTACCGCACACATCAAGCTGAATCAAACCGATAGGCTTTCTTCCGCAATGCAGAATTATTTGAGAGCCAAATGTCGAGAGGTTAGGAAACGTCGACCACGCGCAAGCCGGTGGCCGCATTTTAGTTTACATTCTGCATAGCAGGTCTGAAACATGAAAGACAAAACTATGCTCAGTATGGTGTTATTCATCAACCGACTAAGCAGGTTTAACATACTTAACCCCATAGCATCAACAAGGTGAGGAAGGCCCTAATAGAAAACAGGAGGCGTCATTCAGGACATTGGTTTAATGCAGGTGCGGAACGCTAAGACCAACAACTAGGGAAGCTAGCTAGCAGGTAAAAAGTGATAGGTAAATAATGGGAGAGTATGAGAGTGGTTGAAGCCTGAAATACTTTGCTTGTGGAAGTCGTTATGCCTTCATTCGTAAAAGATTTTAAAATGAAACTGGATCTCCACTGCAGTTCCAACCGACCGCTGCCGTCTTGACGACTCATGTTGAACAACTAGCACCGTTATGATGCTACTGCAAAGGTTTGAGTAACGCCTGTTTCTAAAAATTTACTATTGCATTAACCACGGCGCATATCTCCACTGACATTCACCAAGATGCTTGCAGACAGAAGATCATATTACTTTCCCTGCAGCTAAGGCGTGTTTAAAGTAACTACCATATTACACATCCAAGTGGGCGTGCATATTCTCCAAAGCTGCTGACACCTGAAATACTCCGATGACCTATACAGGTTTTGATATTTTCTTTATAGTTCGTTGGTATTAATCGCCCTCCAAATTTTCTCGCAATCTTCCCCGCGTGTAGGGAATTCAAAGGCGCACACCTACTTTCCTCAAATAAACTGAACTCAACTGATAAAAGTGATGGTTATGTATGCCAGAGTTTGCGACAGTTGTAATTTTATTATCAGTGTTAACAAGTGATGTGACAAACGACTACCACTTGCCGCACTGTTTGTCTACCCGATTACAATATGACAAAACAGCCCGCCAGACAAAGACCCATCGCAGGAAATCAAGATGGGGGTCACTTCACCGGCTGATTAACTGCGAGCCGAAGAGCGTGGAGTCAGGCAGCACGCCGTTCGTCTGAATGCCACATTGCATGAGTATTTTGGCCTTTTGGAAATGAAAGATGCTACCGAAATCCGCCGGATGAACTGCTTTGTCTTTGACTGCGGTGAACGAATCTAGGTGACTCCTCCACTGATAGCAGGGATTTCGGCCTCAATACTTTGCGCCTACGTAACATGGGTAGGTGGATGATGTCTTCCGCGTTATCATTGACGTACGAGAGCGCCCGCTATATCATTCTTGTTCGGAGTTGTTTATCCCATCGTTTCGCCATCGCCATCACTAATTAAAGAAATCAAGCTATGCACAATTACTACCGGCCTCTTTTCCAGCCAATACACTGTACTGAAGCCGGATCTTTCTACAGCAATTTTCTTGAAAGTTTATGACGCAGCGGATGACCTGTGCTAAATTCGCAGTGGTTCATTGGTTTTGACAATTCACTGTCTTCCGATCGCAGCTAGCTCTGTATATGCTGACCATTTAATGCCACATTTTAAGAAGCACCGAACGACAGGCGAGTCAACTAGAACCATGCTGTTCACTTTTGTCACACATGCTACCGCTGAGTTTAGAAAAAGCCCTGCTTTGGGTCAGTTGTATAGAACCTCACCATGAGTTACAGCATGAATCTGTGATTTTCCGTTTGCAGGGCGAAAAAAACAATTTCGACCTATTGGTCAGTTTTATGCTTTTGCTTTAAAATGCTGTTCGGTTGTAAGCCCGGGATCTTTAAATTATGATTCCACCTCAACGCTCTTATTGAACTCCTCTTCGCATATCTGCAACGCCCATTCCGTGTGTTCGTATGCACCTGCACCCTAACTGTGTGCATGAAAAGCATGGTTCGTTTTCAAGTATTTTATTCATCCACACCAGAATACTTCACACAAATATAAGGCATATTAATTGTGCTGACATTGGGGTCATGTGAGAGCATATGAACAGCTAATAACACTGTTTCAATTTATATTTCTGTCCGACGCCGCATTTTGAGCAAGAAGAACTGTGCAGCTACGGCATCCTGCAAAACGTCAGAAATGGCTCCAATTTAGTAAACTTCGTTTTCAGATGTATAGAAAGTTTTCTCATACCCAACACATAATAAATATGAAGGTAGACATAAAATAATGTCTAATTACAGTGTTTTATTCAAGTTTACCTGTAAATATCGTTTAACCAGTAGTGTGACTTCATGTATGGTGGTTTGTCAACTGCCTACATTCTGGGTGTAGATTCCAAAATAGTTTTCCTGTGTTTAATAATTTCCTTGACTATTTGGAATTAAATGAGATAGGGTTCCGCGACACAATGGCCTTGCTCCCAGCTGCACCAGACACGGCAAATGACTCCGGATGCGTCTTACAGTGTCAAGTTGTCTTTCGGCCTCATGATCTGGCTACTGAAGCTCCTGTTCCACCGATCGTTTCTCCTTCTTTGCAACTACTTCCTGGAACTCGCCTCTTCGCTTCGAAGAGCAGAGCATGGACTCTGGTCGTAGAGAACCTCGTCCACCCAACGGGCCACATGTTGGATGCGTTAAATCAACACGGTGGCCATATCGGATTCCGGCAGGCGTTATCGGATTGCGCACCAAAACAAATGCCAAAATTTCGGGACGCGGTGGCAGACCCGGTTTCCTGCAGACGCCGCGCACACTGCGACCCCTGCCATCCCCGCCATTGTTGTTGGTCAAAATCCTGGTCATTTGGAGTGTGGATTAGGGGGTGTGGAGTGGAGAACCAAGGTGCGGGCTCGATCGTTTCATCCACCTGTGCCTCCCCCCACCATCGGTCTTCTTAACTTTGTCTTGACACTGAGCCTAAGTGGGAGAGAGTGCGTTAGAGGGGTGCAAGTCTACCACCACCATAAAGTAATTCGTGCACAAGTCACCGTACCTGCTCCACCTTACTGTGGATCACACGGTGGACATCGTCGGCAACGGCAGTCAAACACGTAGATAGCCGCGTCCGAGCCTGCATGTGCCTGGTAGTGAGAAGATGCCCGTCATTTCGGTAGGCGATGCGTATCCCGGGCGCTCGTCACGGCAGGTGTCCATCAGCATGGCAGGGAACATTAGACTCAAGAGGGTAGGCTCGAGCACGCAATCCTGCTTCACTCCATTGGTCACTGCGAATGCCTCGGAGATTGCGCGTTGTCTGTAAGGCGCGCCAACATCCCGTCGTGAAGCTGACATACCATGTGTGTGAATCGTTCAGGACAGCCGCATTTATGCTCGATTTTTCATAGTCCCGTGTGATTCGCCGTATCCAAGGCTTTCGTCATGTCCACATGACACTTCACTTCCAGCCGGCGTTCGGCAAACACCATATAATGTGGGGCCCCTGTGTCGTTGAAAACAACGTTGATGTTCCGGCAGGAGTCCTTGCTCGAGGTGACCGTTAAGGTGATTGAGGAGGATAGGGGTAAAGATCTTCCCGTCGATGTTGTATGGTGAAATGCCTCTGTGATTTTCGCAGACCTGCCGGCTACCTTTGTGTTTGTAGAGGTGAACAATGGTTATGTCCTTGAAGCGGTGAAGAACCTGCACACAGAGCCACTCCTCTCGAAATAGCGTCGTGAGTTGGTCCACCAAGCGGTGACCGCCGTGGGTGTAGGATTCGGTCGGGATTGTGTCGGAGTATGATGCTTTCACGCCAGAAGGTCTTTGCACGGCACAAAAAGCTTCTGAAATGGAGGGCGAGAGGTTCAGGTCGACGTTGATTTCCAGTTGCGGAAGCCGGTGGATGGTGGCGTCGGCGATTTTGGAGGAAAGATTTAGGACCTTTCTGAAGTGCATGACCAAGCGTTTCAGAATCCGCCTCTCCCTTGTCAAAAGCACTGACCAATCGTAGGTGAGATGCGCGTGCAGTTCCTTTGGTAGGGGTCAGGAAAGAACTTCTTTGACTCAATGCGGACGGCGTATGCCTGGGTCTCCTCAACCTTGCAAACCATCTAGGAGTCTTGCATTTCTTACGACCGTTTCTGATATAGGTGGTGACATTGGTAGATGGCCGCTTTGTTCGTATCGGTTGAGCGGTCGAGGTAAGCCCTATGTAAACTTTTCTTCTTGCCAACCGGGTTACTGATAACTGCTTCGTTGTCGTCGAACCAGTCCTGGTGGTGGCGATGTGCGCGACCGAGGACTGTCAGGGCGGTCGAATGAATTGCATCCGTAGTCGGCAACAGCAAGTCTCCACGAAGGCGTTTTCATCTGCTGCTAGTAGGTCTTCTAGCCGTTGGGCCAGCTAATTGCTGAAGTGCACACTGTAATCAGGAAAAGACAACAAACCGGTATTCAATTTGCCAACACTTCCTTCCAGGTAGCACAGTCTGTCCCGAAGGGAGTATTTAAATTACCAAGGACATTTCCCCTATCCACCTTATCCACAGACGTCAGAGGAGCGTGCAGGTCCTCATAAAGCTTTTTCTTCTCCTTCTCTGGCCCGGTCATTGTTGAGGCATAGACTGTACTGATGGTAGTGAATTTACCTTCTCGGATAGACATATTGAGGCTTATTAGGCGATCGTTGATGCCCTGCAGCAGACAGGGCAGTCTTCCCCGATGTCGGTTTTGATTGTAAAGGCGACGCCCGCGTCCCGTCGCTCTGCCTTGAGGCGACCGCTCCAGAAGGCGTAGCCAGCACTCGTATTCTCCAGTTGGCCTTGTTCGGAGAATCCAGTGTTGATGAGTGCAGCAATTTCCATGAAGTAGCTCACCATTTCCCAAGCGAGTAGCCCCGTCCTTCGTTCCATCCAGTTGCTCCTCGGATTATCTAAAAGGGAGCGAACGTTCCAGGCTGCCAGAGTGAGTGGACGCACGCTAGCTGTCTGTGGGGGGGGGGACGGTGGGAGGAGGAGGAGGAGGAGGAGGAGGAGGAGGAGGAAGAGACAGTTTATTGTTTTGTGTTTTGACTGTGCATGTCAATTAATCCGCAAGCCACGGTCTGCGCGTAGATGTCGTGAACCCAGTTTTCTTTAGGGTACAGTAGATGTGCTAACTCATGAAATGTCAACCAAAATTTCGAAATGCGTTCTCGTTTCGAAAAGATAAATTAAGTAGTGTTGTAAAGCTAATCATGATGCAGCATAAATCGATAATGATCCAGTTACCTCAGGGTGTCGGCTTTCGAAAGAACTAATATTTGGCTGCATGCATGATCTATAATCTTCAAAAAATGACTACTTAAAAAGCATGAAATTTTCTCATTGATTTTCAACGCCCTTGAAAATTTAATTATATTTCATGGAAAACATGCATAAAAATATTCATTCTTTTACTTATTCGGTACAAAATCACGTCTTCTTCCAATTTTACACTCGAAGGAAGAACAAAATTCGGTTTTCAAAAACTTTTCTCATTCCCAAATAATTTTGAACCCGACCTGCTGTTACACTTGCATTCAGGGTTTCAAAACTACAAGGTGTATATTTTCCGTGTACGGAAAACCATGCATTTCTCTACGGTGTTAAGAGGAGACCATATGAGGTTCATAAAATTAAGCAGTGGATTTGAGCAATATTGTTATCTTTACAAGCCAAATTCGTAAATGCAGACACATGACGTTTCATGAACGGCCATTTAACGGTATTAAAAAATCTCACAAGAAGAAACTTTTTTTAAATCCGAATTATACTCTTCTTTTGAGTATGAAATTGGAAGAAGACGTGATTTTCTACCGAATAAGTAAAAGAGTGAATATATTTATGCATGCTTTCCAGGAAATATAATAGAGTTTTCGAGGGCATCGAAAATCAATGAGAAAATTTCATTCTTTTTAAGTAGTCATTTTTTGCAGAGTATAGATCTTGCATGCAGCCTAAAAAAGTACTTTCAAAAGCCGACACCCTGAGGTAACTGGATCATTATAGATTTATGCTGCATCATGATTAGTTTTACAACACTACTTAATTTATCTTTTCTAAACGAGAACGCATTTCGAAATTTTGGTTGACATTTCATGAGTTAGCACATCTACTGTACCTCTTGCAGTCCCCAACCCATTTCGGGGAAAAGCAGTGCTCTTCCTAAATAGGGCTGCCTTGTCGCAACAGACGGATACCACTCTTTACCCCGGGTCACGGGTTTTGGTGGAAGAAATACCAACAGTCTTGGCCGCCTACATATTTACCGTCGTCCCCACCGCAGGACTTCCGGCCGTGGAGTAAGACTGTAGAATAGGGCAGAGGGGAGAGAGAGAGTGAAGGACGGAGGAGGAGTGCCGTAATAAGATGCGAAATACAGAATTGCCGTGTGAGGAGATGCACACAGAGATACTCTGAGCTGGTTAAGCACGCCGATTGAGACGGTTACCGGGATGTGGCCGTCAGACAGAGCGTAGCTTCGGGGAGACATAGGTGATAGTTGGGCGGCAGTTAATAAACACTAGGCGTATTCAACACCTGCAAGCATGTGAGTGACCTACTACGACCTTCACGTGGACCCACAACTGGACACCCCTACACCCCATGCAGAGTAATTAGTCGCGCGTCATAACGTCATGGTTTGTGGACCTGATAATCAAGCAATTATCAAACAAGCAGCCAACGCACGTGATAAAATTGCAGGGATTGGCGACTCGAATGTCGGTTACTGAACAGTCATTAAACTAAGTTTGACAAACTTTTATATGGGGGGAGGGAGTATCGAATGTTCATAAGCTTTTGGCAAAATGGATTCTGAATACAACAAATACGCACCTCCTCGTGTGTGAACTACCCGTACCAGTTAATGTCTTTGATGATGGATTTAAACGAGAATCCGAAAAGTTAGACGAATAAAAAATCTTGTACCTGCGATAATGTCGCCTTCTGCACGGGCATCATTTGCATATCCAAGCATACTACAAAAACATTAAAATTTGGAGGAGAATCTAAATAGACTGCCAAAAAACAATAAGCAAACTCTATGAACACTGAGTTAGCAACCACCACAAATCTACGAGGCCATCCATTTAAACTAAGTGTGACAGGGGCCAGACTGGACACCCGAAAGTTCTTCTCTAACAGAGTGCTAGAAGCCTGGAATGCCCTGCCTGCGTATGTCGTTATGTCTGATTCCGTCGGAGTCTTTAAGAGGAAACTGGATTTGTGTAGCAAGGTCCACTAAATTACCACCCGATCTCTGTAAGCATTACAAATTCCGTGTTATAATACTACTTTCTACATTTCAGTAGCATTTTAAATTGAATTTCTTATTTTCCCGAACCCACCGCATACGCTCACTGACATGCTCCTATTCAAATTTTGTCACCGGATATATCATTTATTTCGCAGCACTCGAAACGACCGCTCTACAACTGCTCGTACCACTAGCATTCGAAACAGTTTGGTTGTCTGTACAGATCTGACGCTTTTCCGATTATTTGTTCCCTTTATGATACCTTTTCGAGTTTTTGAGTTTTTGCAGTTGCATGTACACAAATAGGGAGTTCAGAGGTGAAGACCTACATTTCCCTCAATAATCTAAACTGAAAAGGAACACAGAGAGTGGTTCCTTAATTCTAGATAGTAATGACAAAGGTACTGAATTAGAGCAAGCGGGCTAGTGGAATAAAATGCGTGAGAAAATGGATAGGACGCGAGGAATTAGCTGAAATTAGTCGTTAATTCCAATGCAAATATAATTTTGTAAAGGTCTGTTGAGTGAACGTCGATGTTAACAATAGTTCTCATAGATGACACTGGAGTATTCTTACGCTGGCCCTTCATCAGGGGGCAGCAACAGCACATTTTAGAGATGGGAAGTGGCAATAGTACTCAAATTGAGAGTCTGTCAATACTCACTAGGTAATCGAAAGTCTACTGGTTATGTATCTTGACGGACAAAGCCCGCTGAGAAATTGCAGTAGGCCGTTATACGAAGGTAAGCTCGTTCTGTGTGGAATGTGGGCGTCGTTGTCTGGACAAGTCGGGAGACGAGGTGTGAAGACCAGTGTGCTGGACATAGGCATGTGGACTAGTTTTGTTGATGGTATACTGACAGATATCGACTCAACAGAATTGGATCAACAACAATGCCCTACTTCCTCTGCGAGCACATAGTCACGCCCACAACGTACCTGGAAACTTTCGTCTGTCCATCAGACAGAAAGCAGGCATTAAGTACTATTTTCTCAGTACTGATCGCCTACTTGGCGTCACAAGATGGGAAATACGTATAGCCACTTTGTGTGCATTCTTACAAACCAAAGAATCTACTTGAGCTACCTGTAGTACGTTGAGCAGCGGACTGATTTGTCAGTATAAGGATCTTAAATTGTCAATGCAGACGTTTAACCGCTTCTGTTTTCTGTTGTGAATACGTTTACATATAGTACCGTTATTCGGCGCTTATGCGCTTAGCGTACTGGCAGTCGATTATACTCATGCAGCACAAAGCATTAATCGGAATATCCAAATTGCCTTAAAAAGCATCTACTTTATTTTTATTCTTTATCTTATTCGAAATCATTAAACTAACAATGTAGCTCGGGCTTCTGACTCAAAGAAACTTATCTACGAACCTAATATGTTAACCATATCTAACTGGTCCTTTTCCCGGAACACTACGGTAACTTAAGTTTGTAAAATCAAGTGATTTTAGCGCTTCTGTTTCAGTGACAAGGCGGATAGATGGGCAGGAATAATTTCATTCCGGAGGTGGAAATCGAAGTTTGAAATCTCATCAAGGTTATCATACTGACCAAGAAGGTGAAGGAATTAATTAAAAGTTCCACCGCATGCTCACAGACCTGCAAAGAGTTTCAGATCGAAAAATGTAATCCGTAGTGTTGCTTTTCATTTATAAGTGGCTTCGTA